TGCCAACTTCACTGAGCAGAATCCCTTCAGAAGGGCAAGAGAACTTACGTGTGGGTGCTGAGACCCCACACTGAGTCAACATTTGATCAGAATCCGCTTAAAGAGGACACTGACAACGACGCACTTCTGCTTGGTCACGAATGTTGGGTGTGTAACATCCAAGCCCACAGACATTTTGTCCGTTGTCCCAAGCACTTCACACCTGAATGAGACAAAAATCCACATTCCATCCCAGAAACAAGACTCAAACTCTACGCACGTCAGCACACTGCATTATTTTACAAATCAAAGGTGTCAGGAGATGAAGGACCTCAAAATGCCAGACGCAAAGCATAGTATTTCCCCTTAGTATTTCTTGGGGTGCCGTGTGGGAAGAGAGAAGAGCTTCAGTCCAAGACTGGTTAAAAGTGAGTGCTTCCATTACGGTCAAATCTTCTTTTCTGACTGTGGTCCAGTGCAGGATTAATTTGGCTTTGAAACACCAAAAAATAGATAGGTGTTGGGGAAAAGAAATTATGTTGCGCCAACCTAGCAACAGGGAAGCTTTCCGCACTGCTCACAATGCACAATTACAGGAAAGCAAGAGACTTTGAATTGCAAGTTATTTTCCTCAAATATTTCTAAAAGTAATACATACATTCGAGTAAAATCCACTGTACTGCCAGAACATTCCATTTTCTCCAAGCACTTTGGATCCCTGTGAAAAGCTGCTTCCTGTCCACAGCCTGCAAGTATTCACTGTTTTCTCCTACTTCCAAGTAAACTTGCTGGTTACTTTTATTTTCTAACCACAGAAAGAGAATTCTACGAAAATAAAAGCAGAGAATCCAGCAACAGAGCCATCAGCACAGCCCTTCGCTCACTTACAAAGGTGAGATGGAGCAAGGAGATGATGGCTACAGCAGTGTGCTGGGCGCTACGATGCAGCTCTTGCCTTCGCTACACGAAGTGGCACTGCCAGCATGGGATTCCATTGGGATGGATGGCTACGGATGGCTCCCACTGCTTCAATCTTTCTTTGCTTGCAGTGTGCAAGTTATCAGGGAATTTTCAAACTGCAACATAGCAGATCCTCATTGAGAAGTTGCGATGGAACTTACTGCATCTGTCCCGGGCACAGCAGGTGAGCGGGCAGCCGGGTTCGGTACCACTGAGCACTGCCTGCCAGCATCAACACACGGCCCTCAGCCACCAGCAGCGAGGGCTGCTCCTAACAGAGCGAGTGTCTGCAAAGTCCTCAATTAAGTCAGGTCCTACTTCCGTTCATTCATTCAATCACCTCCTAGCAAACCTCCATTTAGAGCCGGCAAGAAGGCACCGCTTTTCTGCCGGAGCAGCTCATTAGCTTATCATCAGCACAGTTACAGCCACGGAGAAAAGCTGCAAGAAATACATATTAAGGGTGTACATTAAGGAGACCCAAATGACACGCAAAGGGAAGGAAAACATCTCAACATCAGGTTTACATTGAGAGCTGTTAAAATAAACGCGCTAAAATGGATGTATCAGAGGGAGTTCGAGGAGGAAAATTCTAAACAGACGTAACAATAAAAATAAAAACGAAGCCGCTTCTGCACACAGAGCTCGGGGTAAACCCTCGGGTCCCGCCGACAGGAGCTGACACGCGTGGGCACGCAGTTCCCGGCCGCGTCCCGGCGCCGCTCGCCCACCTACCGTCGTCCTGCTCCAGCACCATCATCGCGGGGCTGCGCTCGGGCAGCGCGGACCTCCGGAGCGGGAGAGTCCTCGTGCGGCGCGGGGCTCCGACAGCCTCCCGTCCGGCGTTTAACACGGATGGCGCTCCGGCAGAGCGGCGCTCGGGGGGGTAAAGCGCTCTGCGGGATCGACTGCGGGCTCACCTACTTCTGCGCCGCAGAACTGCGAGGAACTAAAACTGCAATTCAGAAAGAAGGACGATCGGAGCGGTTCCTCCGGCTCTCACCTCGTCAACGGCTCAATTTACAGCGCATAACCTATTTTAATGCGATCGCTTCTGACGGCCCGTAACCCCGGCCGCCGCAACGAGCCGGCATGCAGCTTTATGAAGCGTCTCCCTCTGGCTTCGGGCTGAACCCACCGCCCGTCACCCCGGCAGGCCGGCCCGCGGCCCCGAGCGCAGCGGGGAAGGCGGGCGCCCGCCCCCGGCGGCGGGATGCGGCGCGGCAGCGCCCCCTGCAGGACGCACCGCGCGCCTCGGCCCGGCCCGGCGCCTCCCGGAGAGCGGCCCGCGGGGCTCGGGGCCGCCGCTCCCCTCGGCGGAGCGCAGCGCAGCGCGCGGGCTCGCCGGAGAGCGAGTGGAGGCGGTACCCGGCGGCAGCCCGCTGCTCGCTACTGTCTCGCTCCGCAGACTGTAGCTCCACTTTCGCTAGGTCGCAATTACGGTGGATGTATCAGCTCGCAGGTCCGCCCCACCTGTCAGAGATGCCATCGCCGACCGAACGCAAAGCAACAAGTGCGGATCCTGCGCTTCGCAACAGCCCTCATCCGTACCGCACTCGCACAACTGCGGGGTCAGCAGCTCCGCTGCCACCAGCCACACCGCCTCGGTCAGCCTTTGATACAGAAAGCACTATATTCCTATTTTAACTTTTTTCCCTTTGCAACCCGTACAATGCGCTCCAGGCTCAGGCTGCATCTCTGCAGTACTATTGCTAGTCAGATCCCTTATTACCAGCTGAGGTGGCATTTCCTTCCCTTTCATTCCAAACACTTGATTCCCAACAACCCAATAAGTATCACAGCCCAAAAAGAAGGAGGGTTCACTCAAAGATTAAGGCTAATAGTTGAAAGCATTGGGCACAAGCTAACAAGAACTTGGGCTGTTCTACATTCGAAGCGTCTTAATACTTCTGAAGTTACGACCGGCCTTCAGCAGAGATCTGTGAACTCCAAAAATGTTCCACCATTGTCTACGTAGGTTTCAATCCCATCGCCTTAAAAGAGGACACGCTGGTTCTACAACACATGGCACATTTACACTCACATTGTTGGGTAATGGCAAAAAAAGGGGCAGTTTTCTGATAAAAATAAAGTTAGCCACTGCCTTCTGCAGCTGAGTTCTGTGGCAGAGCGAACTGACGGGAGGAATGCAGACAGCGGTATGCTGATGCAGTGTAGATCCCATAGGTGTTCATCCCTTGCTGCTTCATAGCATCACAGAAGCTGCACTACTCCCTTTGAAAATGGTTATTTCTAAGTGCTTTCTCTGCTTACTCATTTAACACACCAACAATAAAAAAGTTTCCTAACCCCCAACGCGTTTGTACCGCAATTAAAGCCAACGACAATTAACACAATCTGTCGGAATTAATCACGATGCCTCATGTCAGTTTACTTTTTTAAGCAGAAATCTGGGCTTTGCAATCAAAACATTTATGTATTTGAGGAGTATCTTAACTCTCATTATCCCGAGCTCCCTCAATGAGGTGCGTAGGCTGGCTTGCCCGTAGCAAACCCAGCAGCGATGAACACAAGGGAAGCGACTGCAACACAAACCTAGGGGAAGCTTTTTTTGCTCTCCACCTTTCTGTTCTTTCCCCAGCTCTCTCCCCCCAGCTCATATTTTGGGACGATGTTTGCCAAACGGTAAGGCTGTAGTTTCTAATATCGAGTCATGCTGTCTCAGTCAGGTTACACCATGTCACTTCCAACACACGGAGCGACATTACCTCCCTGACACAACTTGACACGATGTCACGACACATCGAGTCCGAAACATTATTATTGCTGTTATTTTTTCAGCCTGTCCCTTCGCCCCCAGTGATAACTGTGAAGATCACAGCAAGGTGTTAGTACCTCCACTGCCTCCCCTGGCACCAAGGTAGGCTTTCACTCACGAAGCTGTACAGTGGCTGTCAGACCCCACGGATGATGTGGCTGTCACATGAGGGCTTGCACGGCTCCAAAAGCACTGCTACAATGGGACCCAGAGGCTGGGTGAGTGGGCAGCTGCCCCTGAGCCCCAGCACAGCTTGCTGCACAGCCCTGGGAGCGCAGCATGCTGCAGACCCCACCAACAAGTCGGCCAGCATTCTTGTAATGCACCAGCATGGTGGGGAAACCATCTCCGACAGCCTGCACTCTCCACAGCGACAGCTGTGAACCCCACCTTGCTGGTAAGGAACACATAAGAAACACCCCCCAAAACCCCACATGGCAAACCCCTCTCCAAACCAAGGGGAGCAACTGGATGCTGGCCACAGCAGCAGGATTTTTAGGTGGCAGAAATCAGACTGCTCTGTGATAAGACATAGAGCCGGTTATGGGAGTAATGCAGATCCCCTTTTAACACCCACAGATGGGCACACAGAGCCCATTTGAATCAAGTGGGAAGAAATGCAATACGGCAAAATGAGCTCTTCATAAAGAGTTTCTCCTCTCCACTTCATCTCCTACTTGTTTCCCTAGCACTTTTAGAAGTGAGCGCCCTTTCTCCTGGAGCACAACTGCCTGGCCAACAGCACAGAAGGTTTCTGAGTGCTGCCACCCCACATTCCTTCCTTCAGAGGTTTGCTGCCCAATGCACTCCCTTCAGGCGCACCCTGCACTTATTTCCTCTTTAGCTCTGCTACCGTTACCCCCTTCCATGCAGCTGCTCGCGAGGACTTCTGGAAGGAGGCTGGCTGCTGAGAACTGTCTGGATAATCAGCAGACTTGCTTTCGTCTCCTCACAGCGCCAACCCCGAGCTCCTCGTGTTTTAATGAGCGCGTTAGGAGCACCGTTAGGAGCCCCTGCAGAACTCCCCGCTCCCTGCAGCCCACCTGTACCCCCGCAGCGCCCGGCAGGCGCGAAAACAGCTGGCACGAAGGCATCGCCCCGCTCACTGTTAGGCTTAGGGGACAGTGACGGATGCGAGCCTTCCCCCTCCCCCAACACTCCGCGCAACATGCGAGCAAAACTTGCATCGCTCCGTTCTGAGCGGGGTGATCCCCGAGAGGCAAGCTCCGCTCCGCAGCCGCAAGGAATTATCCCGGCCTCTGCCGTCGCTTCCCCCTTTTACCTTCCGCCCGGGGCGGTTGGACCAGAGGGTCCTTCGGCGCTCTGCCGGGCCGGGGAAGTTCGCTCCCTCTTCTGCTCCACGCACGCGTTCGGCTGCAGCGCCGCGGCCGTACACGGAAGGCTCCGAGGGACGGCCGCAGCGGCTCCCGGGGCCGGGCGGTGCGGGGCCGCGGCTAGGGAAGCGCTGGAGCCCCGCGGCCCCTCCCCGGTTGCCGGCGGCTCCGCGGCGGGCGTGTTCGAACCTCACCGCGGCAGAGGCTCCGCGTCCAAAGGAGAGCGGAGAACAGGAGAGAGGGAAACCCGCGGAAGAACCGCGCGCGAAGGCGCTCCCGCCCGCCTCCCCGTACTCACTTTTGCCGAGTTGGAGCCCCGCACCCGGCGCACAGCCGCTTCCCGGCCGGGCGGGGACGCTCCGGGGCCAGCGGGGCCGGGACGCGCCGCAGCCGGCGAACCCCCGGCGGGGAGCGGCCGCCGCGGGGCCCTTCGTGAGGCTGCGGGACGGCCCGCTCCCTCCCGCCTCCCTCCCCGCGGCCCGGCCCACCTACCGTCCTCCTTGTCCAGCACCATCGTCCCGGGCGCCGGGGGCGGCCGTCGCCGCTCCGGCTGGCTGGGGAGCTCCGGGGCGGCTCCGGGCTGGGCTGCGGAGCTCGGGCGGCGGGCGCTGCCCCGGGACGAGCGCTGGGAGCGGCCAGAGAGGCGGGCCGGCGCGGCTCGGCGGCCAGCTTAGGTGCGGGGCCGGCGGGGCTCGGTGCGGAGCTCGGTGCGGGGCACCGCGGCCCGGCTCCGTCCTCCCGCAACCCGCGCTGTCAGAAATCGCCGCGGTGCGGTCGCAGACGGCGGCTCGCAACCTCTCCCCGCTTCGCTGCTGCGGCTGCGAGAGCTTTCCCGGCTTCTAAAGTGCTTTTCTCTCGATTTCACTCTAAATCTAAAATTATATTCAAAGGCGGGGGGGGGGGAGGGAGGAAAGCTGCGAACCTATCACGGAAAGCAGAGGCACTTGCCGCCTGCCTCCCGCCCGCTCGCTCTCTCTCAATTTATGTGCTCTGCGCTCTCTCCTACTGCTGAATAAATGCACACATTTCCCAGGGACCCTCAGATTCCCCTGTTAATTAAATCAATTCATTATGCTCAGATCTGATTAGCAGCCCCTTCCCCCCCTCTTTGAATCAATTATTCAATACACAAACATAATTGCCTGTGCCAGAGGTGTCTAAGTATTAGCTTATTTAACTCCAAGGACACTAATTACCCCTAGGGCAAGGGAACTTTTCTCATTAATTCTGACAAAACACAAAAGCACAGTTAAAGTGTGTGTGTATATACGTGTGTGAGAGAGAAAATGGGGGAGCGCCCAGCCGGGGAAGGAGGCATTCCTCTAACGCACGTGTTACTATACAAATAAGCTCTATTTTCTTTCTACCTTTTGCATCAGACCGTTTCCCACATCTCCTTCCACCAAAATAATCTCTTTTAAAGTAGGGAGCGGATCTGCATCGCAATGGTGGCAGCCAGACCCCAACGGCACCAAGTACATAGGAGTGATGGGCAGCAAAGCAGGATTCGCAAATAGTTTTGTTTATCAAAGCAGAAAACTGCGCGGCAGACAATCTTCTGTACTTTAGAAACCAGTGAAAGAAATGGCCCTCTGCTGCAGCCGGTAAGATGATACATAATCTAGTATGTACTGGGAACGGTTCTGAATTGTTTACCATTTGAATTAATGTCAGTGCCCACTATTAATGTACTTGCTTCCTACATTTACCATAATGGGCTTGATTTCCATTAGCCGAAGCTGGAATGCTAAAAAGAGCCTGGGCAAGACTGATGCAGACTGAGATCGACCATCGCTACAGCATCTGAGACACATGGCTTCTGGCTTGCACGTTACCCAAATTTTACCTCTGCATGACCCTCCTTTCAATTAAAAGAAAAGGGGAGTGGGGTGGGGAAGAAAAAGGAATAGTAATTGATTCCCCCAGATTAGGTTTTTTACTTTGTAAAGACCTATATTGTTCATGTCCTCAACGTGCGCAGAAGTATTGAAGATTTTCTTTTTGTTTCCTTAGGCAATGCATGAGCCAATCCATTAATCCATTTGGCTTTATATATCAGGAAACTGATATTAGCTCAGCTCATCTATTTGGTTTTATTCCCACCCCATTCCCTCCCCCAAAAAGCTGCCTTTTTTTGTACCTTGTTCAGGCTGGTCCCCTTTCAGAGGAGACAGAGCATGTTTGGTAGGTTTCAGAGGAGAAAATGCTGCGTGTCTCCTCTTGGGAACCTCCCCAGTTCCCCATCGTCACATTCCCCCCCGTCAAGACAGCTGTGATTACACTTGCTCAGTTGGCAGCCCTCCCCACTCACGCAAAGCACACCTTGTACACTGAGAACCCAGGTGGGGCCGTGGGCAGCCAGCACACAGAGCTGCTGTTCTCCCTGCAAACAGCACCAAAAAGCTCAGCAAACAAACTGGCTCTGCACTGTGAGCACAAATAGGTCTGGGGACATAAAGTTGTGTTTCATTAACACAGTACCTCTGTCTGTAATGCACACGTATAAGGACAAAAATGCCTACAACTTCCTAACACAACAAACCCCATTTCCAGTCTGTGGTACACACGGCACCCCCAAGAACTCTAACTCAATGAACCCATTTTTATTTTCCCTCCCAACAAAGCATTGTGTATCAGCATGTTTCTGTCTGTACCCAAGGTCCCTGAGCCCATTCCTTTGCTCCCACGGCCAAAGAGTTTGGACGCAAAGCCACAGCCTCAGGATCTCAGTGTGCAGCTGTAGAGCCCTATTCTGAGCTTTGCTTACAGCTTCACCTAAGCACAGACCTACCGAGCAGCAGGTATTTGTCTGTGTGCACTGGAGCTCAAGGTCACTGTTGGGATGCCAAGGGTGAAACGGGAAGAAACTGAAGGAACAGATGTTGACTTCGGTACCATTCTTAAGAAGTGATGTTCACACTTGAATTGAGAGAGATGTGGTCACTGGAGATGAAAAAGAAAGAGGCAGAGGGGAAAAGCGAGAGGCAAATTTGCACATGTGCACGCGCATGAGGGAGCGTCACACAAGGGAAGAAAAATAATGCAAAAGAATGACAAAGCCTACATCATTCCATTCCCAAACAAACGTTCTGCAGTTTGCTGTAATCCTAACACTATATCTACATGGATTTGGGGTTTTAGCCTTAACATGGGATGACTCCCCGTATAAAGGCCCTCACTTCAGGTAGATGACTTTTTTAGTGTGGCAAAGCACTATTCCAAATGGTTTTCCATTGGATCTGTTCAGTGAGTCCTTTCAAACAAGTGAGCAGCTCTGAGTAATTTCCAAGCCTCCTTCACCCAGTGGGATGGAAATGCCATACAAAGAACTTTACCACGCTTCCATTTATTAGCCCCATGACAGCACACAGATGAGCAGCAGGTTACAGTGCTTACAGACAACGGGTGCCACAGGGAGCAACTGAGAACACTGACCCAGGTCAGTGGCAGAAATGGGATCCAGCCTCAGCAGCCACATCTCCAGCCTTTGCAGCACAGTGTCCAGGCAGAGCTCCAGCAGGGGAGGACCATGCCTGCAGCCACTGAGGTACCAGGTATCACTAACATTGCCCACCCCATTACTGTACACTCTGTCCAGGCAGCACTGTGCTCAGTACTGCAGAAATGCAGATAAAAGAGCAGCTGTTCTCCGCCCAGGAGAGCTTTTGCTCTAGTACAAATTCCCGGTACTCATGGTGTGGGAGGAAAGAGGCCACAGGAAGGAAAAACATCCACGTGCTGAAGCAAGGATAGGGCTCGGAACTCTGGCTCTCACTGTCTAGCTAGTCTTCCTTTCATTTTGCTAGTCCTGAGCACAAGCAAAAGAAAATCAAGTTTCTTAAGAACAACGTGCAGCCCTTATTAAATTGCAAAGGAAGCCTGCAATATACTTAAGTCAAGCCTTCAGCAGACCCGTGAGGTTTCATATTATCCTATGCTTGAATGAGGCAGATGACTGGAGCAAAAACCAGCTAATGACATAAAAGCATTCTTCTACTTTCAGTCTCTCTTAATTAAGGAGTTGGTTAATGTTTCAGTGTTGGGAATTATAAAGCTTCATCGGGGAGGTTAATATGTTTTTTTTTATTTTATCTTTCAGCTGACAGGAGGAAGAAAAACCAAAAACAAAAAAGAAAAGAGGGTGATTAAGCCACGTGGCAGTCAGAACCCCACACGGAGGGCAGGATCAGGCCGTACCAAAGCCTACAGCCGCACACGGTGAATTTAGCAGCTATTACTGAAGTCAGATTTCTGAGCAGATGAGATTTGTCTGCTGGTTTAGACACATGGATTATATTGCTTGAAACTACCCAAATAAGCAAAACAACTTACACAGCTCCATACTGAATTAGCCCTCTTAGTCATTACCCATTTCAGAATCACACCTAGCCTGCGAGTGTCAGAAGAGACTGACCACAGTTCTGACCTTACACTGCAATTCAACAGTTCGTGGGAAGGAAGAGAATCACAAGAGCTCTGAAAAGTTATGTTCACAGAGAACATGGGCTGCAGTTCAAAAGACCACTTAAACATATCTGCAGACTTCAGTTATGTCAACTCCTGCTTGACTAACTGAACTTCTGTGCATGTACATCATAAAAACAAACCAGATTCAATTCTGATAATGTTCTGCATGAAAATAATGTTAAATGTTTTTGCAAATATGAGGTACTAAAAAAAAAAAAAAGAAATAATACTGTGTTAAAAACACAGCAATTCCTTTGATAGAGTAAAAACAGCAAAGCTTCAGAAACACAACATCTAGCGAACGAGCTCTCTACCATGGTGATATAAGGCTAACACTTTAAGTCATTAGGCTTTACAACCTGTAGCAATCTTCAAAAGAAACTTACAGCTGATAAATTAGTTATTTAGAAGTTTTGCTGCTGTTCCCCATAGGACAGACATTAAAAAAAAAAAAAAAAAAAAAAAGTATTTCTGAAAAACAGAAGCAGTAAGACCTAAATTTTTGGTCTGCTTCCTGGTTTCACATGTAAATCCTGCCTTCCCACAACAGGTTGGTAGCAATGAACTCCATAACATTTCTTTCTACAGGAGAATCCACAATGTTTGAGTGGGTATAAACCACTGGAGGATCAGGTTGGGTGTGACACTTTGCAGACCCATCAGCATCTCCCCAGCATCCGTACAGCTGGAGACAAGGACAGGTCTATGACCCAAGTGGATGGCTTCAGAAGAAGCCCAAACTAGGAGCTAGGACAGGCTAGCTTCCCCCAGGCCTCAGGGAAAGCATGCTTACAGGAGATGGATCTTTTCCAAAATAAGCCTCCTTAGTCTTACCATGGATGAAGCTTTCCTTTTCATGTTCTTCCACCTGCATGGTGAATCAGTTCTCAATGCCGATGTAAAGTTTCAGTTCAAACTGAAGTTAGGCAGAAGTTTGGGATTGCACCTTTAGCCCAACCTCCCTGAACAAGTCCACACATGGATTTTGGCTCTGCCACCTCTTCGCATAGCAGCCTGAACGCTTTCCAGAGTCTAATGTATGAGAGAATGGATCATTCAGAAACAAAACACCACCGAGATATGAGTACGTTGGGGCAACAGTGCTTGTGTAATGTTTCTCACTTTCATCTGGATGGATAACCAACATCCCTGAATGCTCTTCTCTGTCTTAAAGTTCATTGCTTCTGTAATGTTTTCTGGCAAGTGGCTCTGCGTTTTTTCCTAACCTCAGAGGGTGTGGTAGATAGACAAGAAAGACAAATCTGGCCTCCACGTGTCTGCCTCAGTTGTTTTATGGAGGAATCCAGTGGGACAGCATCTAATTCTGGAGTGACACATGGAGCTCACGGGCATGTTGCCACATCCACTGTTGTGATCAGAGCTCATTGCTCCCAGCCTGATGTCAAGCGGAGACTAATCGAATGTGAGATGGGTGAACAGAGGCAGAGCTATGGAGCTGACTCCTCCTAGCCTGTTGCTGTTGGTTTTAGTTCACCCTGCAGCACTACATGTGGTCCCAGTCACAGAACTAGACCATAACACGTCCAAAAATCCCAGCAACTTTCTTTAAAAAAGATGCATTCTTCCCTCACTGCCTTGCTACTGAAGAGACCAGCAGGACTGACACAGAAAGTCAGAGGTAGAAATACATTAATTGAACAGATACAGTGCAGTGTCAGGCTCTTGTTGCTTTGTGATGACAATATTCTAAGACGCTGCAGTGCCACCTGTGTTTTGTGGTTCCCTCTGTCTCTACTTGGCATAGGTGACATTTGCCAGGTCTTCATAGTGTCATTCCAACAACATGTCATCTAAAACACTGATTCTGTAGGAAAGAAGCTGCTTGCACAGTAGTGGTAGGTGCACACAAAGTATACAGCATGAGTGCTGAACACTCAACAGAGGAATTCCAGCTATTCCCAGCTCACACAGCCAGGGAGGGACTGCTGCATTGGACTGTTTTGCACGTGCTTCCACCAGCATCCAGCTCAGTCTGAATCTAATGGTGATAATCTTGACCTGTTAATGTATGAGAGGAAAAAAAGCAGCCACAAAACAATGAGAGTACTATTTGACTACTCTCTTCTAAAATTAAAAAAAAAAGAAAGAAAGAAATCCAACCTAGGAAATTACATTATTCTTCTTTCCCAATCCAAAGACAGATACAAATTTAATGTAGGTGAAAGTTACTGGAGATCTTCTGATAAAAGTAGGCAGGTAGAGCTTCTAATGAAGGCATACACTATAGTGCACATCTTGCCAATGTTTCTTAATGAATAATATGTGCACTCAGACGAAAATAATATTGATTGAGGTCTGCAGGGAAAGTTCTCCAGGAAAAGAAAATTATTCTAGGAGCAGAGTCCTTTTTGGAAGATTTTGATCTTTTTTCGCTGCAACCTTTCCCCTCCCCTCTCTTTGTGCTACCCAAAGCAACTGACAGCCGAAAAATGAAAAGCCTGCCCTGCATCAAATGTATCTATCAGATACAGAAAGAAATTTATATACCGATACTAAGAATGGCTGCACCATTCTCCTTAGCTGGTAGAGGGCACAGCAGTGTGTAATTAGGACTGGATTACTTTACTCAGAACTGGAGCAGAGAGCAGATGTCGTGCATTAATATTGGCATTTGATTCCAGGCACTTTCTCTGCCATGTTTGCAAAAACAATTTGCTTTCCTACCTTGGATCTTGCCTTGCATTTACTCTTCGGTTGCTGTGACGCAAACAAAAAGCCACCAGCGGCCACATGAAAGTGCACACGGAGGGACAGGTCCAGACAGAGTGAATAGAATTTATGTTTTAATTCGTAACATTAAAAAAAGTCATTTTCTTATTATATTGATTAGATTAATATTCCACTAAATGCCAGCTCAGATACTAGAGGCCACGACATTATAATGCATTTGTTAACATAAGTCAACAGTAAAGACATACCTTATTCTGAATTAATGTCATCAGAGGCCATTTGTATCACACATGAGAGATGCATCTACCTTCTCAAACACAGCCAAGATCTTCCCCACCTGTTTTTCCACACAGAGAACTTCAGTTTTGGTTTATCTTCAGTTCGACATTTAGTGTACACTATCCTTCCAGAGGGCCTGCAATTGAATTTCATGCTGTTAAAAAATACTGGACCACGTCCTGAACTGCAGCCAGCTTGTATTTGATAGCAGCTTTATGGCTGCAGCTGAATTCTGGAGGTTTCTAAAGAGCAAAAGGTAGCCTGCCTTCATTTAAAAGAATTCAGGATGTGTTTGCAATAGCCTATACTACAGCATCACGGAGTAAACAAACACTGGTCAGCACATAACCCAGCAAAGCAGCGGTGGTCAATTCTAGCTTCATCCTTACGGATGCAACCCAAAGAGAATAGCCACTGAAACTCTGCTGCAGTGGTGAGTTTGGCTTCAAGACACCATTTGCTTGGAGTGCACACCAGACTCAGACCTGTAACACCAGCAACACACCTGAAGCATCCATTTGCATGTGTTAACACCTGTTTGTATCACACATGCCATGATTCACGCAGATACTGTCAGAATATCACCAAACTCCTCTATCAGGAGGAATGTAAATCACCTCTACTTCCTCTGTTTCCTCGTCTTCCCAGTGGATAAAGACAGAGATATGTGATTGCAATAATGGGGTCGCAGCTAAGAGACTGGAAGATCTTGAGCTTGTGAACTACTGAGCCACCAAAAAAGCGCTCCTCTTTTTCCATGACATGCAGTAGTGGCAACTCCCCTACTCCTAAAGTGTGTGGATAAACTGACAAATTACCTTGACAAATGAGGAAAAGACTACTGAAACCAGGCAGGCAGGTTCACATTCTTCTGGTCCATCAGCAAGTGGCAGAAGTGAAGGAACTGCTATCCTAAAATGAGAAAATAACTGGAGTGAAATGGTAGTTGTTGCCACAGTTCTCTTTAGGCAGGTGAGAAACTCAGTCTGAGACCTTCAAAGATAACTACAGAAATTATATCATTCTCTCAGTAAGAGCTAGAAAAGCTCCTCGACTCACAGGGAGGTCAAGAAGTGAGAGCCCAGTGGATCATTTGTTGCGTTTTTAATGCTTCATGGCTCAGGGTCAGTCAGAAATCCCTATCTTAAGGTCGGGATGAGGGCAGTCTGGAAAACAATCTTGCTTCTTTCCTGTTACTGACAAGGCCTTGCTCAGGCTCTGCTATTTCTCTCTCTCTCTCTCATAGCAGATCACTGTAGCCCACTCTTGCTCTCTGCATTGTGATTAAATCCACCCTAGGTGCTGACATGCTGCTTCTCTGGGATCATAGCAGACCAGAGGACCTTCCTTCCAGCATTCCGTAGCATTGCAACACAATGCAATTAAAAAAAAAAAAACAAAAAGCTAAAGCTAATACTGGGAAGTAACATTCCTTAGAGTGCCTGTTGATAAGTATTAATACTTATTTTTTAACAGGATCAATGAGACATCATGAGGAGCACAAGTATCAGCAAACCTAGCTGTTAACTAAGCAGTGAGCCCTATTTCTTTGGCTCCAGCCCCTTCCCACTGCAGCAACATGGCTGCGTTTGATGCATGAGGAAAGAGTGATAATCATCTATCTCCTAACCTGCTTAGGAGACAGGTTGACTTAGAAGCTGGAAGCCATAGTTTAGAAGGCCTGCTAATGATTACATCTGTTTCAAATAGACATATTTTGACTATAGTTGCCATACTGAACAGTCACTGGAGTCAAGCAATCACTTAAAAAGGCTGAGATACAACTCTGCAGTATTTTACAATGGAGTTAATAGCTAAGCTTTAGAAGAAAAACTACTGCCATCCAAACACCCAGCGGAAGCACATTCCCTTAACAAACACCACTCATTGCTTACCTATGAACTCACACTACAACACCCTTGCAAATGATCTATAATGCCTTGCATTGCTAGTGTATCGAATTTGCATATTTGCCTCAAATATTTATAAACTAATAGACATAAGCATGCGTTTAAAGGTGACTATCATTACAGACATAGTTTTTGCATACTTTAATTAGTTCAAATAATCACATTTTGCCTTATTAAACATTTTGGGGATAAAATATAGCTTACCATTAGTTCTAAGCACTGGAAAACTGTTAGAAAGGAACAGCACTGCCAAAAAAAAAAGCAAGAGAGAGAACGTGAACATACAAAAACACTTCACAGAAATGTAACTATAAGACCTAACGCCATGGAATGACTAACAATAATGTATGTACTACTTTTAAACAAGAGAGCAATTTTGGATAACTTTCCACCTCTTTGGTACTTCAGATTAGGCCTCATGAGCTGTAACCGTGCAACAGAAGCAGAAAGCAGCAAAAGAGCCCACTACCCCTTTCACATGTTTAAAATAGACCTCAGAAGCAAGGATAACTCCTCATTTCCTTCAGCTGCTTATTTACTGGTGCTTCCCTTCTCATTTAATTAGAGTTAAAAAAAACAACAGCAACAACTGGCCCCGACAGTTTTCCAAAACTCTTTCCCACCAACAACCCCTTTTCTTTTCAGAGGTACTAAGAGGCACCGAGAACAGCTGTGTAGTTTGGAACAAGTTTCTCAGTCAGTCCCCTTTTAAAGCTTTTATATACCTAAGAAGTATAACCCTGCCTGAGAGACAGCGATTAAAGTTTTTAAAGAGTACAGAGATTTTACAGAGAGCAGCATGAAGCTCAGGACCAATTAAATGTCATCTTAAGTACTTAACTGAAGCATTTTTTCATACGCTAGGAATCAGTTAAGTGGAAGGTGCCAAATTAAACCTACATTTTAATTTTTGCCATTGAGTTAATCTCAAGAGATTATGCATTGTATTTCAGGAACGACTTCAGAAAGCTTTCAGTAGGGCAGTCTCTGCTAAGTTGGCTTCAGGAGCTCTGCGGAAGTCTGAGAAAAGAAAACACACATGGGAAATTCAGCATACTCAGGAGAAAATATGTGCAAATAACAAATAAAGTGTTGCAATTAAGCTCAGAATAATGCAGGTGGTATCACATGAGGGGGTCTCAGTTAAGGGAGTCTCAGTCTGTATGAGGACATTAAGTGAGCTTGTTCTGTTTTCAGGCAAGAGCAATAAAATCCAGCTTTTCCTTTCTCCAACACGTGAGTAGTTAATTTGCAGCATGTAATAATATGATACAGTGATCCACACGCCCTTTCTTTGACAATGCTTTTCTCAAGCAAATGTGATTTTGAGAGATTCTGGGGAAAAAGAGGATGCAGTAAAACTCTGGGGACCAAGGCAGGAGGTCTTGCAGCTGGAGCACTAGACGAGAAGTAGGGAGACTTAGAATTTGTTCCAAGTCTGGTACATGTTTTCCATACAATATCTAATAAATCTCTCAGGCAACAAAAGCAAAATGTCAGGTGGCAAACAAAATTTTTCAGACATGTTTAGATGCTCCCAGCAAAAATTTGTACGTGAAAAAAATAGAGGTTTTTCTTAGCAAGATGGACATAAACTAAGAGCATAGTCCTGGCCTAACCTAATTGTAGCCAACCATCCCCACACTCTCCTTGGAAGGGTAATTAGTCTTGGGTTTTATTTTGCTTTTTTTTTCCTCCTTGGTTACATCAATAACTAGAGCGCAACTTCAAGGAGAACTTTTAGTGTGTTCAAGAGAAAGAGAAGGAAAAGTGTGGGCCAGCTTTGCTGATTGCAAGGGAGCAACGTGCAGCTCCTCATACCTGTACACCCACACTACAACCTCACTTGGAAAAGCATGTAAGCTTTTGGCTCAAAGTGTAGCACTGGCCATCTGTTACAGTTGGTGTTACAGCTGGAAAGATTATTGTGGTGAAAATGGGAAAAGAAACAAAGAGGGAACAGAAAACAAACCTATATCCAAAGATCTAGATTCACAGAAAAGACTCCACAGAAGAGGGATCTCCAGAAAGTGATCCTTTTCCATGGCAGTCAGCCCTTAAATGGAGTCTAGGAATTGCCTTCACCTGTGCTCCCACAGCTGACCCAGTCCTATCCTCAGGTGTTCAATCAGTTGTTCAGGCCATGACTCAACAGTTCCCATACACCATCTTTCTTCAGATGATGGTCAAATGGCCGTGGACTTCTAATTCTTGTAACAAAATACACTGGTGTGACCCCGAGACCATTCCTGAGCAGAGGGAAGAGCTGGTTTAATTCTTTTATGTGTCTGGAAGATGTCATCTGGACCAGCTACCCACCAAATAGCATTTTCTAGCTTAGGGTGTGCTCCTGCACCTTTTGCTGTTTAATTTTTATGCAATCATTAATAAATCATTGGGCTGGAAGAGAAAACATTATTCCAGGTGATATGATAGGTTACTCATCCCGGTTTTCACATCCTGCTTTGCAAACTCAGTTTGTGTTTCACATTAAACAGTCCTTGGCTAAACCATCACCCTTGCACAGGGATTTGACTTGTAAGCCTCTAAGGATGAGGGAATAGTCTCTTCCTCCCCTTGTCTCTGTTTGAATCCATGGCTGTTTCAGTCAAGAGAGCTCAGCTGGGAGAAGGGTGACGAAGGCTTTTCCACATAGGGTGCTCACGGAAGGGGCTCTCCTCTGGGATAAGCAGGGCTGGAAAGCAGGACTGGAAAGCAGATCCTACTCCGCTTGGCTGAGTCCTCTGCCTATGAGGGCTGGCATGAGGGAGGCAAGGAGATGACATGCCCAGGGCCATAGTGGCCTTACATTGCACCATGGGAAGTTCAGATTAGATAATAGGAAAAATTTCTTCTCTGACAGAGTGGTGAGGCACTGGCAGACTGCCCAGAGAGGTGGTGGAGTCACCGTTCCTGGAGGTGTTCAAGAACCGTGCAGATGTGGCACTGAGGGACGTGGGTTAGTGGTCAAGGTGGGGTGGGCTGGGGTTGGACTGGATGATCTTAAAGGTCCAACCTTAATGATTCTCTGATTCTGAAACTATGTGACAGTGCCAAGCATAGAGTTCGATTCTCAGCCCTGTGCTTTTCTGACAGTTCTA